GTATCTGCGATGATGTGGCTATGTTGTTACCTAAAGACGCGATATGTAATTTATATTGTTGCATAAGGATAGGAAATACTCCATAAAAAACTATTTTTTCTATTACAACTTACATACATTAAGTTGTAATTTTTTTTATTACCTTATTATTCGATATTTGACCACCATCAAGGTATATGCACGAGGATAACTTATTGTTTTCCTTTATGACTTGGCATTTTAGTATAGGAGACAGCATGTGTCGCTGAACTATTAAATAACCATCAAAATCTTACATATATTTTCTGTGTTGAAATTCTATAACGTTTGTTCAGTACTTTTTTGACGCTGCATATTTTAAATAAAATACAGTTGGTACCGATCAAAGAGTGTAAAGACGGCATTATAAATTGAGGTTATAGATATTTTGATATTGGATTTTCTCAATTTTCTTTATCATTGTACTTGTATTTGTATTATTTGTTATTTATGAAGTGTTAATTTCAGAATTAAATGTTTTTCTTTTAAGGGGCATTTGCTGTCAAATTCTTGTTCACCGATTTGACTCAAATTCTCATATTTGATTTATAACCTACTAAAACGTATATCAAACTTACAAAAAGTCTAAAGTGAACAATTACCAATGCATGGACTCGATACTATGTGTTTGTATTTCGTGTGTATTTCAGTCTAGACGCCATCTTATCAACCGTCGAGGTGGTCGCCGAAGACTGCCGACGGTCAAATAACCCGATATGAATATAATTATAGATATAAATAGAATGCGAACTCGTGCAATTGGATTTTTCTAGGTGACTAGATGACAAGACTAGATGACTTGTATTTAGACTAAATATAAACAGAGACATATATACATAGCGTATGTATGTCTCTGATATAAGCATGGTATCATTGGTTAATTAAACGCCGCGACATGTCAATTTGCTTGTCCCAGTTCAGGAACATCGTAGGTGGTTGTCCTATGTGATATTTTCGTTTTTTGGGGGGGGCGAATATTGGTTTTTATGACAGATCTTTGATCATTTCAGTTTAATTAGTTCACACCTTTTTATACGCAGGACATTAGAGAGACTGGCATATTGTGTAGACACCTGTCTATTGTGGAAACTGTATATTAATTTCAAGATGTTATTTTGTTCATATGTATAGTTGGGTTTCTGTCTCATTAATGTTATCATACATTTCCATAATTCATATGTTGAGATAAATTCAAGACAAGAACTAGGCAAACCTTTCAGTAATGTCGATATGATGTTTCGCAATTTATTTATATTATTTGAAAAACATCACGTTATAAAAGTAAATGTCCATTTCTGTTCTACTAAGATACTTACTTTGTAATACACAAAGAAGGCTGTACCAGCAGAATGTTATAATAATCTTAAATTATTTAAGAAGCAATGATACAAATATTTTTTAGCAAAATCATTAAATGTTAAGCTGAATTTCACCTCCATATTTTTTCGGTCTATCAATAATCAATTTAGGCACGAAAATATGGTGGAATTTATTGTTTCATGAAGATTACTTTTCTGTTTTAGAACTTAATAACTTTAATCTACTTCATTTTAATCCATCAAAACATGCATTTGTCAGCGTATAAAGTCACTATAATCAGCAGTTAAATTAACCACTTTTAGAAAACAATATGACATGCAACTAGAGAACAATTGTTATTTTCAATTAGGAAGGTACGTTTTTATCAAAACTAAATTATATTTATTTCCGTGTTTTAGTTTGATCTAGATAATAAATAGCCAACGATTATTTTTACGAAGTCTTTGGATAGTTATGAAAAAACGATAAAGTATACACACCAAGTAGATATTTCAGATAACAAATATCGTTTGCTTTATGAAACTGCCCAAACCAATAACCTATAGTATTGCAGTTGTCGTTGGTTTCCATCTATCATAGTTTTTTTAATGTTATTAACATAGATCAGCTCGTTTGTTTTCTCTATTGTATTTTTCTCATTTTGTTATCCGGGGCTTTTTATTGCTAACTTTACGGTATGGGGTTTGCTCATTCTTGAAGGTCGTACAACTTTAGGAGTTCACATGTCCTTTGTTGTGGTTTTTTGGTGGATAGTTGTTTAATTGGCAATTATACAACACTTTCGTATTTCATCTTCACAAGTATCGTTTACCCGATGTAAAATATCCAAGGGGAAAAAAAACTAACTATAGAAAAGTATTCGTCGTTAGAAGTCTTAAATCTGAATCAGTTTTTATGAGGTTAATCTTTCTTAATATGAACAACATTGTTTAGAAGCCATTTTACATAGGGAAACTTATACTTATGTAAGTTTTTTTTTGGTGGCAGTATAAAATCAAGTTTTGTAGGTTTTACTCTTGAAATTATCTTGATGTTTAGTGGATTTGTAAGTTCACATTGATTTCAAGTTAATAGCCTCATTCCAAGCAATAATTAAAAGCAAATTGATATAAGGAATCGGTTTAAATCAACAAACTATTTGTCTATTCGACAAGGATTAGAAGAGGAATTGTTTTTAAGAAGATTTAACATGGGAACAAAATTCAAGGAAAAATGTATGAAATTAAAATTAGTCACCAGACTCTTGAGACAAACAGATTTTTTATTGTCGAACGTTGAATTCAGTCTGACTTCAAACAAACCTTAGCATTTCCATTTTGAGAGAAAAGGGTGTATATAAAACCTCAAGTTGACAATATATTTTCATAATGAGTTAAAGAATCGGCAATTTTACGTAAGTTAATAAAAAGTATTTCAGATTTTATTAAATATAATTTCGAACAAAAAATCAATTCTAATCTCAATTTTATAATTGAGGTCCTCAAAAAACAAAGAAAAGGAAAAGAGAACGAATGATAAGGGATATTTATACATGATTATTTTTCTTAATGTTTAAGATTCGTAATCTTCTATTATGATAATCCCGTAAAACACGCATTGCCATATACATTGGCCTCCAGGGTACCCCTTAACAATGAGGTTAAACTAAAAAAATCCGCTTATTAAAATATGCAATGTATTTCCCAAGCCTTTTTTAGATACATAGTTTGACAAAACATTGGAAAAGAGTGAATTATACGCGATTTGTGAGTATCGGTGTTTAGTTCATTTTGCTTTGAACCTTTTTGATTTTCTTATTAACTTCCCTTTATTCATTCATATATTTATTTATTGATATGTTTGTTTATTTCTTCATTTTATGTGCTTGTTTGATTATTTATGTATTTAGTGTTAATTCATTTGTTTGTTAATTTGCTTATTTAATCTTAAACTGTCTATTTCATTTACTCATATTAATATTGTTATTAATATCATTTTTGTTATAATAATTAAATACTTAGTATTATTTATTGTTATAGATAACATTTTATACAATTTCTGCACTTTATAAAATAGCAGTTTGTAGGTACAATTTGAATTCTTTTAAATTTCGAAATACAAGTTTATTAATTCTAAATTTCCTTATTCTATTTATCTAAAAGACATCCTTCATTTGGCTTTCCTTTTTATGATATCCTACTTCTATTTGTGGTTGCTTTGGTCAGGTAGGAACCTACTTCAGGATAATTGAACATAAATTAACATTTTTGACCCATTAAGAGCTATAGGATAACGATAGTGCAGTTGATGAATGCCTTAGTTGGGCGAGAGTGAAATTCTATTGTCAATTTTTGTTTCAAGTTTTAATTTTTCTTCACTGTGTCAATATGTCACTCACTACAGAGATTCAAGGAACTCATACAGAGAAGAACAACGTTGGTTTTCTCTTTTCAATTGTTTCACGTTTTGTGATACCAGAGTCTTTTATAGCTTTTATAGCTGACTATATGGTAATTGCTTTGCTTATTTAGGTATCAATGACAATCATACCACATAGATGTATTACTGTATGCGAGTTGGAATGTCATAAAGGTTAATAGAATTAGGGGACTAAACTAAACTTAGGGTTTTTTCTGTCGTCTTCGAAAGGACAATTCCCAATTAAAATTTGTCAAAAGCCGGATCAAGATCGTGTGATTCGTGGCTGGAAATTTGTAAAAACATTTATGTCATAATGACAACAATCAGATATTGTTCAGGAAGCGTCCAGATTATTAGGCAACAGCAGTATACCGATGTTCCAAAACTGGAGGATCAATTTCGAGTATTCAAAGCAAGAAAAACATCCTGAGGGAATAATCCCATTTACTCCAAATAGCACAATTATATATGAATTGACATGGTAAGCGTCTCTTGCTTTGGATACTCCAAATGGCGCAGTTATATGTGCATTGACGGGCAACGCCAAACATGTCACGATAGAGAATAGAACAAACTCGGTAAATTTACAGATCAGACGACTTTTCTGTTGTCTTTTTTAAAAGACCTAGGAGCGCAAAACATGTCTGTTTTAATAATAATACCATTAACGGTAACAATTTTTCTGCACCAAATGCGCATTTCGACAATAAATGTCTCTTCAGTGATAGAGATTGAGTTGTGAGTTGAGACAAAAAAACTTAAATTCGGTCAAACAATTAGTGACCGTAGAACTTGAGTAATGTCGTTTAATGTTGTTATTCCTTGCTGGAGGATTTCTTTAATTGGAAACACATCCCTGTTAATGAAGTGCATATAATGTGAACATGCAAGTGCGTTATGTATCAATGGAATAATGTAGCGCCATACGATGGGGTAGAGAGAAAAACAAAATTGTCAAGTTCGTCATAGATTCTAGTTTTGATTTATCTATCTTTTTCAATCTCAAGAAACGATCTAAATATGAATCAATTTTAGTTTCGGTAGTTAAACCTCCTGGTTCCTAAATGGCTTAGATTGAGGTGAGGTGCACCTGAACAATTTCAATTTTGATAGGTTATGAAATTATTTGTTTAACAGTTAACACAGAATTGAGAACTTGCAGTAAATTTAATTAGCGGACGCGTGCATATTGTTATAAAAGTTAATTAAAATGTTTAGACGAAGATGTAAAAACTCACTAACCTTTATGTATATTTCATCAGATACAGAAGGGAACCTGTGTTACAAAGATCGAGGTAGATGTTGAAGTAAAAGACAACAAAACAAGGTAACGTAACGAGCTTATGTATGGAACGCCAAAACTGTCTCAATATGTCCTTTTCATTATATCATGTGCTTTTATCATTACATGATGTGATTTTTCAGTTATATGGTGTAAATCAACCTTTTATGATGTGGAAACGACATCATATGATGTGCACTTGATATTATACAATATGCAAATATGTGTGTTCTTGCCATTTTTTGATGTGCAGTCACGTTTAAATGATGTCCGTGTGATTGCACAGCATTTAATGTCAAGTGCACATCACATAATGTTGTATTGCAGTGAGTTCCATACCTTATGTTTAAATGAGGGTCTAGTTGGGTAGAGTAGGGAGGTCTTCATTTCTGTATGCTAAAGTCAGTTTTTTACTTTTCTTTACTTTCATATTTTGACCCCTTATTCGCTATTCTTTTTATTTTAGCACGCCATTATTCTCACTTCTTTATTTTTTGCCCTTTATTTTATATTTTTGTACCATTATTAATTCTATTCTGTAAACCAGATCCAGATCAAGAATGGTTATTAATACGTGTTTAAGAACACCAAATTACAAACCTGTTATCTTTTATGAGTTTTGTGAGTGGGTTTTTAATTCTCATTATAATGACCTCTTTGTCTTTTTTCTTTTGACCATGTTGTTAATGCTTATTTAGCTAATGATTCTGATTGCTCCGTTGGTATCTTTTCATTTTCCATTGAAATAATACACATTTTATTTACACAGATTCATGGTATACCGCCATCTTGGATTGTACAATCGCAGTACACAATCGGTCTAGATCTTTGCCCAAATCTGCAAATTTGGAGACAGATAGGCAATTTATAGGTTAGACTGTTTATTTAATGATGGTGATTTATTGCATTATTCAAAATGTTTAAATAAAAACCAAACAATTGTGTTTTTAGAATATTTTTTTCAGCTTGGTCATTTAAGGGGAGATAACTCATTTAGTAAAAAAATTATACTGGACTGATAGGGAAATTTAAATTTTTTACTTGTAGCAAAAAAACAAGTTCGGTGACACCATTTTTTCTTTTTATTTTCTTAAAGCATATTATAAAACATATCTTCTCATATTATATTTCAAAATTCTATCTCATAGATTTCTTTTTGAGCACAAATATGTGTTTTTTCATGAACAATCTAAGCAAATTTGTGCAATTTCGTACGACCCGTAGCTTGAAAAATAGCACGGTGACCCACACTTTTTATTATATATTTGGAAAAAGCATAGAAAAATCTTTATTTTGGCAAAGTATAAAAAAATTCTATCTGAGGAAATATATACCTATGATCTACCTTATGTTTTTGTTGTTATGAGCACTAATATGTATCATGATTAAAATATTTGTAAATTTCTTTGTAAATAGGTGAATCTGGCTGATTATTAAAAACAAACTCTTTATATTGGACACACATTCGAAGAACATTTATATGGAGCTCTAGAGAATTCTAATTTCATTCTTTAAAATTTATAGAAAAATAAATTCAGACTGTAAGCCACTCAAAGGCTAAACTTATTTGTCAATAAAATATGTTTTATACTTGTAGAAAAACGTATTTTTAAATTTTAATGTTTTTGGGGTTTTCCTGGTTAAAAAAACGTTTGTCACTTGGTTTTCTGATATAAAATTATTCGAAAAAAGGTTATTCGAATGGAAAATCTTAAGTTTGAATTAAGGCATGCATTAAATGTAAAATTTGAATGCATAAACACAAATGGATTTCTGCAAACGGATGCCAGTATCCATAAACGTATCCAATACGCCAAAACGAGTTCATCTGACGTTTTATATTTTAAATATGAATAAACAAATGTATAAATATTTTTTGGAAATTTTCAATGTACGCTTTTATAACATATTTATACCTCAAAATTACCGGAATTAAAAATCTACGATCGATGGTCTAGATTTTTGAACTGTGACTTATGGACCCTTACTCAAATTGAGTTTTAATTCACAAATATTCTTACTTCACACATTCTCCAACATGTCTCAGAAGCTGAAATGATGTACAAATTCTCTCATCATGAAATATGTTTTGGTATAAAAAAAAAAGCAAATGTATAATAATAATCACAAAAGGGCTCGACAAAATTATTGTCTTTTCAGTCCTGAATACGCATCTAATACCGCATTGAACAAAAATTGCTATATCGACTTCTTCTATTACCAATTGCACTCTAAGATATATTTATAGAAAACAAAAACATATATAGGTTTATTTCGATCTTCATTTTTCTAAATTCGAGCTCAACACGGACTTGAACTGTCTTATAGGTTGTACAAGGAAGTTGCAGGTGGATATTACTAGTGACCATTTTGTGATTTGTTGATTTTAGTTTGTTAATTTCTACGCAAGTGATAACTTTCTTGCCTGTTTATTACTTTTTATTATCTAAGTGTTTTTCAAAATAAATATGAAGTAGTCAAAACATAAAATATAACGAAAATTGTGACCTCTCCTTTTTCCTTCAAATTTGAAAAATTGCATATTTGGTATAAACCATTTGTTTATTGTTGGTATCATACACTTAATTAAGATCACATGTTATATCTTCCAGTTGGTAATACTAGCTTTACTGTTTTAGAATTGATTTAAAGTGAGATTCGGGGATTTTAAATCTATATAGCATACCAAGTGCGATTGTCATTAAATGCCGCATTTAGAATACATATTAATTTAAATAAATTCCAAAATAAAAATCTTTCATAGTGCAAACATTGAGAATTCAGGTTGAGATTTAATTGTATACATCTACATGTCCAAAATAGGTTATGATACTTTTAGAGTAATTTGACACCATTTTCAGCAAAAAGTTGATTTAGCACACATGATTATTTATAACAGAGGTGACAAATTTTGATTGGAATGGGCATTACTTCTAATTATGTGCAGTAATAAGCTTATTTATTAGACTATTGATATCTTTGTTCGATCTGTAGCATTCTTAGCTCTTATGTTTTTCAAGGTTCAAATAAAGTCATTAGATTGCATAAATATACCCTCCAATTAAATTTTCTTTACTTTGTAATTAAGAAAAAACATTCAACAAGGGTTCTACAGCGATCCCAAGTCCTTCATCGTTCACCAATACCAAAATTACCCAAATATGATATATGCATTAAAAGTTATATTATTAGTTACACATTGTGCTAGTGGTCTGAAACGATTTATCGTATTAGGTCACTGCATACTGTGTATACGAATTTATCTTACCTACTATCTCAACATATGGCATTCAGACTAGTGGCCTATCAAAGTGACCAAGTCTTCAATATCAAGAACATACTTTCATTGGTCTATACAAAAACAAATGCCAACAATAACAACTTATGTTTGTTTAATAAAACAAATTTAATGTCTACACCCACTGCTTCGACTAACAAAACGAAAGGATTAAGATAAGATCAAGTTGTGTAAATACTTTTTAGCCATCTCACTGAATAAATACTAGTTTTTGCATTATGTTATATCAGTGATTCATTCGAGTAAAGTGCATATGTTTTTGAAAAACAATCCATTTATTTGTATCTTTCGTTCTTTCATACATTTTATTATAACCTCAGAAAAAAACATCTCTGGTATTGAGTTAAATAAGGGAATTTTATTGGTCAACTTTTATATCACTGCACATTTCGAATTTACTACTGCCTACTTCTGCTTGTATTTTGTAATATTTTCTAAAGCAAAATATAGAAAATGAAAACCGTGCGACGAAAGACTTTAAAAATAGTCAGATGAGTAAAATGCTTCAATATTTTAAATGTTTAATATTTGGAGAATTTTTTTTTTAATTATCCATTGGATTTGGCAAGGATTTTTTTTAGAAAAGAATTAAAAAAAAAAAAACAGGAAAAAAAAGCGATATAATTATCCTTCTATAAATTCCAGTTTTGATGGTCATAAAGATACCTACGGGTCAGTTAGAAACTATAATTAATGAACATACAACGATATTGTTATACTTTTGCTAAACGCAAAAAGATAATATGATAAAAAAAATGATCAAGATTGACCTCACGTTCAGAAACAGTAAGCAGTTCATGTTGCACTAGTTTCAACTATTGCATAACTTAAAAATTACGATATTCTGGTGACGACAAACGGTACATTAAATTGGTATCTTCTAATGTTCTTTTTCTTTCGTTGTGAAACGCGTAACATTCGTTTATGCAAATTATTATCAAAGATCTTAATTGCGCCTAGAAGGTAATTATACGATAGAAAATGATAACGCTTTTCGATGTTCATTTTGTTGCCACGGATTAACAAATAATCTAGCTGATACATTATCAGGATACAAACTAACGGTTTTTCCAGCAGAAGGGTATCGTTTTTTTATTTACTCAAAACAATACAATACTATACAATAATGTGACTTGAGTATCTGGCGGGTTGCCATTGGATGCATTGCTGTCAACATCACTTTATGGACATGTAGAAGTACAGACAAAGAGTGGATATGTATACATATTCTGCCAACTTTAATGAGCAAGACATTTGCTTTAGAATATTTCTTGAGTAAAATTTGAGACGTTACATTGTTAAAGAGTGTACATGATATGAAGATTAATCAAGAAACACGTGTTTTGCGCAAGGGAATGTTGTTTGTTTTACTACCAATAGGAACAGATGCTGAAGTACTATCAGCTATCCTGGTTTATCGTTTGTCTTGCAACTGCATTTGAATCTTTAGTTTACTATAGGTAAAGTTTTTATTTTATTCTATTTGCTTGCTGTTTCTGGCTTTTTTTCTCGTTGGCATGTAATTGTCTACACTATATTTTTTATTGTCCTATTGGTGTCTATAAGTTCTATTCTATAAAAAAAAAGCAAAATAGGTCATTGGCGTTTTCTATATCATAAGTCGTTATCTTGAATTCCTTGGTGTTACATTAAAGAATGAAGCTTGCAGAACTTACATTATTGTAAAAAGTCCTATTTTCTGTTTTATTACATGGTTGAAGTGTAGTCTTGACTATGATCTTTCATGTAAAACCAATTTTAGATATAGATCTCATTGCAGCATTTACTTTTGAAAACTATGCTGGTGTCCTGCATTTCTACTTTGGTTTGAAGATATGCCAAATGAAATTATTTTTCGCTGTGTAGATTTTTCTGGCACTCAAAGATTTCAGTGGATTAGATGTTGAAAGAGTTTCACAGTGGTTACTTTCAATCCATCATAAATGAATGCTACAAGTGCTAGCACTTAATAACATTTTTTCATAACATTTATAATGTATATAATTTCAGGAGTCAAAATGAAAATTCTATCAATTGGCTTACTGCTTATTGTGTTACCAGGAATTGTTTTATCAAAACACCACGAATCTATACTGTCATCTATTTTAAAACCATTAGATTTTTGTAAGTATAAATTAATGTTGATATCGAAGTTTTTGTATTTCTTTTTTCTTTTTAAATAATAGTGTTTTATTGTTGTTAATGTTATTCTTAAGCTGTTTTTTGCCTTTTTGTCTTTGTAAAAAGTAAATTAAAAAAAGACCGTACTCTAAGGAAAATTCAAAACGTAAAGTCCTTATCAAATTGAATTATTAAAAACTCAAACACGTCAAACGAACGGAAAACAACTGTCATATTCCTGACTTGGTACAGGCATTTCCTTATGTAGAAACCTGGTTTTATAGCCATCTAAACATCTCACTTGTATGACAGTCGCATAAAATGCCATTATATTGACAACAATGCGTGAGCAAAACAAAGACATAGGTAAAAAAAATCAAAAATTGGGTTACAACAGTCAACATTGTGTTGTAATCTTAATCACTATAAAATAAATAATTATTTCAACAAAGAAAAACAAAATGGCATAAAGACACTTTATAGACAAAGTACATGAGCAAAAATGAAAGACAAAAATACAAAAATACAAAAATTACCATAGCACAATAACGGGATGTAAAAAAACCGAGTCAGGCCAAAAGTATATTGCCAAAAAGGGACTAAACAGTAAAGGTTAAAAATATACAAAGACAAATAAAAAGAACACTAAAACACGTTCTTAAAGATGATAAACAACGTCAGCAACTAGAATTTATACGTCAAGACCATCATGTATGAAGTTGATACGGAATGTTTATCAACAAGGTCTTGGCATTTTCCGATGAACTTTTTTAGAAAAAGGACGAGACGTTGTTTGACTTAACCCTGGTTCATCAACTTCCTGCAGAGACACTGTTGACGTTTTATAAAGTCTGAGTAGCAGCTGCAAGCTCTTGAATACCGAATGAGTTGGAAAATGTATATCCCATATGCATGTGAAGTTGGTATATTCCTGCTAAAGTGGGGGAAATTTATAATTTCAAAATCAAAATCATGTCGTTTGTCATAGATTCTGGTACTGAGATGATCATTCATGTCAAGTTCGAGGTATAAGTCTAAAATGAGGCGAAGGAAGCTGTTGTTTCTTTAATTTCTAGTTCTGGAGGATATAGTAATAGAATTCAATCTGAAAAGTATGGATGTTAATGGAAAGAATATCATCAATACATCTGAATGTGAAATTAAATGATCTGGCTTCTTTGATCTTCTTATTTTTGATAAGTGTCTGAAGAACTCCGACTTATATGGAAATAAGAAGAGGTCGCCAAGGATAGGCGCACAGTTCGTTCCCTTAGTAATGCCGACAATTTGCTGAAATAGTCTACCTCCAAATTCAACAAATATGTTGTTAATAAGAAACTCCAGCATACTGATCACTTGTTCCTCTGTGTAGTATGTTTTACCTTTTTGTTCACTATTAACAAAATATGCCGTATGGTATCCCAACGCAATACATTTATAACGTATTCTGCCATTTTTATATTAAAAATCATTGTGGGTTATTTCTGTTTGACGATTTTTCAATTTCACATGGGGAATGGTGGTATACAAAGTTGAAAAATTAAAAGTTTTGATAGAATTAATTTCACAGAAAGATCGAGATTTAAAATTATCCAGAAGTTCTTCAGAGTTTTTTTTTAGGATCCACATATGGTTAATACAAGCGTTACAATGTTGTATGTCAACAATAAAGTCCTCCAAAATTGTCGAATAAAAAAAATGACCTTTGGTGTTACCGTTGAAGGTTACATTAATATTCATAAGTTTTTTTTTTATTTTTTATTATTTAAAATGCGAAATAGAACCGATTACATCTTTGGACATTGAAAAAACTTATTTTCATGATATATATTCAGTTTGTTAAATTATCTAATTTTATGTATCGTCATATTATTTTCGGTTTCAGTAAGGTTTGAACTTCCCTGACCAAATTTAATCTAAGACGGGTTTGGCTCTAGTTGGTTACTTTTTTATTTTGATATACTTTAAAACATTTTTGAATGATTTTTACATCCCATTCTTATGGTATCGAGAACTTGGTGAAAGTTATTCCAAAATTACGTTGTTTGCAGTGTAATCGTTATTCTATAGTTTTTTCATAAAATGACACCTTAATATATATACATTTCATTATTTCGATCGCATGCAGCACTACAAATTTGATAAACTGCAAAACGACTAAAGATAGTTATTGTGGTATTACTGTCACTGTTGAAGTAGCGAATTAGCTGAATGTAAAAAATTGAAAGAAAAGACACCAAGTGGGCAGTCTAATAAAAACAGACAACATTGTGTTAAAAATAAAGAACAATCAACAATAAAAACAAAACATAGAAAACCAGAGACTAAGCCACACGAGTCCCACCAAATACCGGGTATGAACTCAGGTGCGCCGAGACGGTTAGTTCTTGCTCCGCATGTGACATTCGTCGTGTTGCTCAATACTAAACAATTCTATGCAAGCTTACTTAATTCTATTTGTCTATATGACATTCTGTCTTCCAACTCACAACACACATTTGTGTTTTGCCATTTTGAAATTTTAACTACAGTTCATCATCGGGAATGTAACCATCGTGTGTTTTAATTGTTATGATAAGCTTTAAAACGGCCATGTTTACACCACAAAATTTAACATGAGTACAGCCAAACATGTGCAACTGGAAAAGTTATAAAGCATGCCAGGACTTACAATCTAAATGCAACTTGTGTTTCAGATATTTAAAAACTTTCCTCGATTTGTTTTGTCTATACAGAAAGTGTAAATTTAAAAGTATTGCACATTATTGAAGGCCGTACGGTGACCTGTAGTTGTTAACTTCTATGTCATTTGATCTCTGGGGGAGAGTTGTCTCATTGGCAATTATATCACATCTTCTTATTTGTATAAGCTGGGTTAAATTATTGATATGCTGAACTAATAAAAGAAGAATTCAATAATAATTGTATTGCATTGTTTTGATTGCTATTGACAATAGCAGGACACAACAAATCTGCACATCAAACGGTTGCTTGAAACAGTGTAGCTGAGTTGAAAATCAAATATTATCCAGGTGTTTGATTATCTTACCATTTTCTGCATTTATATGACGAAACATTCCAGAAGGAACTTCATATTGAGCATTTATCTCCCAGTTAATACGATAATCGTGTGCTTACGTTTGATCCCATGAATTCTAGAAGGGTTGCTGCAAATAAGGAATTTGACCAGGAGATATAAATGGTAAAAAGTTGGGATGATTTCTTTGACAGTTTTACGGAGTCTTTCCCGATTATGTTGACTGTTATGGAATATCTTTATTACATATTGATACGTTCTACTTGAAGTAACCACAATACCTTGCTATTTCCGTCCATTGTGACATCATCTAGTGCGTTTTTGCATTTTATTTGTACTTACAGTGAGCAATAAGACAGATGTCATTTCTATATTTTTCTTTTTTGTTTTGCTTAGCATGATCTATATTATAATAGTTAATGTTCTTCTCTACTGTTAGAAAAGAAATCTAAATGAAATGACATTAAATTTGAAGGCAACTTATTTCAAGTGCTGCAGCAGATAGTATGCAGACGCATTAGGATTTGTTATTTTCCTTTAACTTGAAATCCAAAAGCATACTATTGGTAAAGTTTTATCCATTCATTTCTTTTAAACTTTTTATCATTTCAGCATTTCATTTACATATTACCTCTGACGAAAATCAACCAAAAAATGACATCCTTCATGAGTTAGGAGACTTCTTCAAAGGAAAAAGAACTGGATGTGAATATTTTTTTTATTATCTAACTGAATAGTTTAAAGTTAAATTCATACCGTAGTATTGATATGTCCGTTGATAATCACAATTTAGTCTTATCTTAAACTTAATCAAACACCCATTAAACAAAAAGTTCTCTGAAACTAACATCATCAGGAAACTTGACTTTCCTACAAATTGTTTGTAACGTTTGGATTTTTCTCCACAGACTGGCAACATTGTGTTGGAAACCAACTGTTCCCCTTTTCTTTTCTTTTTAAAGTTTTTCGTTATTTTTCATTTTTTCTAATGTGTCCCCCTTTCTTTGTATGACGCTGATTTCATAAACGAGCTCTAAAAAAAGAATGAAAAGGTGCTTGCATTATTCACGTTTTGCTATACGCGGATTTTGTTTTCTCATTGAACAATTTAAAGCTTGGTTATTATATTGGTCGCATCCATCCCATTGATCTTGAAATAAGGCTAAAATGGATACAGTTACATCTCCTTCATATCTTGATTAGCATCTTGCGATTGACAATGAGACTTTGTTGAAAACTTACTGTATAGCAAAAAGTAAAATCACAAAAATACTGAACTCCGATGAAAATTCAAAAAGGAAAGTCCCCAATCAAATGGCAAAATAAAAAAACAAACACATCAAACGAATGGATAACAACTGTCATATTCCTGACTTGGTGCAGGCATTATCTTGTGTAGAAAATGGTGGATTGAACCTGGTTTTAAAGCTAGCTAAACCTCTCACTTGTATGACAGTCGCATCAAATTCCATTATATTGACAACGATGTGTGAACAAAACAAACAAAAACAATAGGTAAATAGTCACAAATAGGGGTAAATAGTCTAATTCGATAGGTCACATTCGTGAAAAGGGAACGGGATTGTAGTTACGACATAAGGAACATATCCGATATCATCTGTGAAACGGATATTCCATAACGGTCAACCAACTCGTGATGGCGTCCGTAAAATTTACAAAGTGATGATTTCAACTTCACCATTTGGAACTCTTGGTTTAAAAATGAAAATTCACAATTTGGAACCTGAAATCATCTCTTTTGTCGTAAAGTTTTGTTTTCAACCGACCCTCATAGTCAATTTCTAAATATAAGTCATAATCAAATGGCAAAATCAAAAGCTCAAACACATCAAACGAATGGATAACAACTGTCATATTCCTGACTTGGTACAGGCATTTTCTTATGTAGAAAATGGTGGATAGCAACATTCCTACAGAGCCTGTATGTGTAGTATATAACTTCCAGTTGATATAATATTTCAAAGCTGCCGTTTCCAATCATGACTTTCTTGATTACCATTACTTAGGATATTAAACCAAGCGTAATGGTAAAGTTGAAGTAATCTCTTCGAGAGATTTACTGATGCATTCATGATTTGATTGACTGTTATGGACCACATATATGTTTCACTTGTCGTAGACACATTCGGGATGCAACCTGTGGAGCAGGAACTGTCATCTTGACATGTGTTTGGTGAGGTTTTTGTTGACCAGTCGTTAGTTTTCTGAATAAGGTTGTGTTGCCGTTTATCTTTTGTTCATGATGTTTATTTGTTTTTTTCTCGACTTGTGGTGTTTTATTGCCTTTTGGTTTTTTCCTGGACTTGTGGTTTTTATTGCACTTTCGGTATATTCTGTCTCCTTTTTGAACTGAAACAAACTTACCAGTCCGTAGTTCACTTCTGTGGAATACTTGCATATAAGATGCATAAACAAATCATCGTGAATTCTTAAGCAGCAAATTTATTTGTTCGTCTAGTGTTTTATTCTTTTCTTTCTTTCTACATGTAAAGGATTGTTAAGTTTTGTTTTATATCTTATTTGTTATATATTGATTATTATATCCTCCATTTTAATTTATTTTGTTTTGTATTACAGCCTATAGACCCCACACTAACAGCGGTGATAATGAACCAAAGAATGACGTCCTTCACGAATTAGGAGACTACTTCAAAGGCAAACGAGATGAAAATGATTATTTTTATTATTTTGATGAATATTAAAAGACAGCTTTTCTCAACTGGTCCTGAGTAACGCACAATAATCAAACGATGAAATAACATTATATTATTATATGTCTTTGAAATAAATTGATTTACATACAAGACAAGTTATATTCTCTTCTGTGCTCTATAAGAACTGTATCGGATCTTTGAAAATTATTTCATATTTGATTCTGCATATACAATTATATGTCCAGAAGTAGCATCAAATGGAATACATTCTTACACAAACAGGTGGTCATTGTATCTTTCTGTTTGTAACACCTTTGTAGTTTAAATATTTCTACTTTTTTTTAATTATTCCATAATAAAAATAAAAAAAACCTTAAGAAAGATGTTATGAATAAAAAAATATTACAAAAATATCGAACTCCTAGTTTTATGCTTTTCTCTGGCATAGATAATAAACTGCTGTTCAAGTTAATCAAATTCTATTTTTCAAACACATGTACAAGTATGGTCACAATAAATCAAGAGAACTAATCAAATTAATATACAATTCAATTACGGACTGCAATTCGCATATACACATAACCCCATAACTGGTTACTAAGGAGAAATAACTCTCTTAAAAATATGCAAACTTAACCAAACGTCTTGACCATACCAAACTGACATATAACATCCCCCCGAACAAATAAACAAACCCCGTTTGTTTTCAATGGTCAAGGCGTTTTATTCATTTAAAAAAAAGTCAAAAATCCAATAATTTCTCAAAACAAACATGATCATAATTACATCTTCAATCTATTATTCAATCAACTGTCAATTGTTTGCACATTTTACTCAAAATCACTATCTACTACATATTCCACTATACTATTGGTTATACAGACCAAACTTTTATATATGGTGACACCAGCAGAGACCTTGGCTCTTATTAAATGGAAATACAATTAAAGCAACATATTGATCAGGTACACTGCCTCAACAAATACAACCATAAAAAACAGGTTATTTCTGGTATTGTACACCAATTCCGTCATTACAAATGGCAACACTTATGCTCATTAAAACGCAGTATTTTCCTCGTGCAATATTTGCTTTTTATCAAACTTAAAAAAAAAATGACTATTCATTTGAAAGCAAACTCTTAAATATATTATTTCATTCAACAAAATGGATTACTAAAATTCAAAACTTTTACTACTAAACTAACTTCACTTCACTCAAATCGTAAGACTGAAAAATATACAATTTAGAATAAAACTTAAACAAATATTCAAGAACAGTAACTTGAAATAAAAATCTTTTGAAAACTGGTATCATAAAAATACTGAAGAAAATATTCTCTCGACATTTTGTATAAAACAAAAACTTATTACAGAGTAATACTACAACAAATATACATTTTTTCCGCTTAATTGACACCCATTGATTACATTGTCAATATTACTTTCATTTTCTCACAATTTTTTTCACTTTCTATTTTACAAGATGGCGGCGATAATAACACAATCCGGCTCGACGTTGACCACATTTATTTTCACTTCGCGTTAATCGTTAAATTAAATAATAAACACAAAACATTCATTTGAATGATAATGAGTTTTTGTAGTTTATATTTTATCAGATAGCAAATTTCATGGAATACATATTTTTGCGTTAACCAACAAAAATATTCGTGCGCGAGGCTAATTCAATGACACAAATATACAATTTATGTGTGAAAGAAATTACGAGGGTAGAAAAATAAATTCCTTATCTCCAATTTTAAAGAATTATAAGGATTAAACGCCTTTTTAAAGGAATTTATTGGTGTATAAACTGAACCAAGTCACTCACAAACATATCATAAAAGTCCTTCGGACTTTTATTTGTTTGTGAGTGAATTGGTCGAGTTTATACACCAATAAATTCCTTTAAAAAGGCGTTTAATCCTAAAATAAATTACTTTAAAAGGGCGTTTAATCCTTATAATTCTTTAAAATTGGAGATAAGGAATTTATTTTTCTAGGGGAGGGTTGAGCGCTCACAAACATGTTTCATATCACATCTTCTTATTTTTATATTAAGCCCGCCACATTCTTTATGTGCCTGTCCCAAGTCAGGAGTCTGTAGTTCAGTGGTTGCCGTTGGTTTTGTTAATTGTTTGTTATAAATTATGCCGTTAGTTTTTCTCAATTGAATTGTTTTTCATTTTTCATGTTGGGGCCTTTTCTAGGCGACTATACGAATTTTCCCATTGTTGAATGGCCGTACGGTTGCCTATAATTGCTTACATCAACTTCATTTGAACTTTGGTGGATAGTTGTCTCATTGGCAATCATACCACATCTCCTTATTTTTATATATATAACATTCTAATATTTATTCAGTTGTTTGAATACGAACAATCCAGACGCGCGTTTCGTCTACAAAAGACTCATCAGTGACGCTCGAATCAAAACAGTTAAAAAGGTCAAATAAAGTACGAAGTTTAAGAGCATTGAGGACCAAAAATTCCTAAAGATTTTGCCAAATACAGCTAAGGTAATCTATTCCTGAGGTAGAAAAGCCTTAGTATTTCAAAAATGTAAAGTTTTGTAAACAGTTAATTTATAATCATGACCATATCAATGATAATTCATGTCAACACAGAAGTGCTGACTACTGGGCTGGTGATACCCTCGGGGAATAAAAACTCCACCAGCAGTGGCATCGACCCAGTGGTTGTAAATAAACTCACTATAAATACCAGGATTGAAATTTTGTATTTGCGCCAGACGCGCGTTTCGTCTACAAAAGACTCATCAGTGACGCTCGAATAAATAAAAGTTAAAAGGGCCAAATAAAGCACGAAGTTGAAGAGCATTGAGGACCAAAAATTCCTAAAAGTTTTGCCAAATACAGCTAAGGTAATCTATTCCTGAGGTAGAAAAGCCTTAGTATTTCAAAAATGTAAAGTTTTGTAAACAGTTAATTTATAATTATGACCATATCAATGATAATTCATGTCAACACAGAAGTGCTGACTACTGGGCTAGTGATACTCTCGGAGAATAAAAACTCCACCAGCAGTCCTTTTAATTGCATTGGTCCTCCCATCGTATTCGTCTCGACTCGAGTGCGTGAGGTCTATCGTTCCTTCTCAACTTCTGTAAATCCTAAGACTTTGAATGTGCTTTTCCGCTAAACAATAATAATCAGGTGCGTAGCTCCATATGCGCTAACACGCCATGGCGTACACATCATCTGATCACAGAAAATTTTGAGAAATGAAAAAAAACAAAAACGATTGACATTCTTTCTTATTGCTACTGCATTAAACTAGTCTACTGCTACTGTTCATTAAAAGTATATTGGTATTTACCTAAAGGTTTATTAAATTTTGAAACTATTGTGCTTTTGGCCATACATGAACAAAAGAACGCAAAATGGTTGTTTCTTGTGCAGGCCTGAGTTTTGTTTCCACGCGATTGGAAAATTCATGTTTATATTTACCCTTAATTAAACAGATTTATTAGAACCACTTTTCCCCAGGTACAAACAACCCATTAATGCAGACATTTCTAGAATAAAAAAACAACTCCAAGTACTCGCAGAGCGGTTTGTGTTCGTACCGGCAGACAAGGCAGCCAATAATGTAGTGGTGGTATGACGCATATACTACACGGAAGTTCTTTAAAACGAAATTATAAATTCCTCTACATTCAGGTCCGTACGCACCACAGAGAGTCAAATCGTTAACAAGCATAATACAGCCACTACCCAGCTTAAAGCCTCTTCCGAACATTTGAAAGTCCCTACCATGTACTGGTTACCGAAATTACGCAAAAAACATTTGAATTCCGTTTAATCTCCGCATCTAGTAAGTGTTCTACTACTAATCTATCAGTGCTTCTTACTACCTCCCTTACTACTATCAAAGAACTGGTTATTAACTTTTGTAATAAAGCTTATGAAAATAATGGTATTAATAATTTTTGGAGGGTTAAAAATTCTTTAGAGGTTTTAGATAAAATACATGCTTTTGATGGTCCTTTTAATTCTGTTGACAGTTATGATTTTTCTACTCTTTACACTACACTTCCACGCAATCTAATAAAGACAAAGTTTTCATATTTAATAAAATGGTCTTTCGAAAAATCTCATTGTAAATTTATTTGCTGTAACTCGTTTAAAGCCTTTTTCTGTAACGAAAAAGGAAAGTATGCTAGATACACTTACTGGAAATGTGAGGATATAATTGAAGCTTTAAATTTTCTCCTAGATAACATATATGTACGTTTCGGCGATAAAGTGTATCGTCAGGTAGTAGGTATTCCTATGGGCACTAACTGCGCCCCTTTAATAGCAGATTTATTCCTGTATTGCTATGAATCTCAGTTTATGATCAAACTCAGTAAAGACACATCATTGTTACATTTGGTTGATACATTTAACAATACCTACCGTTATCTGGATGATATTTTTTCGTTAAATAATCCAGAGTTCTCTAAATATACTACCGAAATTTACCCAAAAGAACTTACTTTAACTAAATCTAACATAAACAGCAGCAGTTGTCCTTTTCTAGATTTAGACATTTCAATTTCTAAAGGAAAACTCCATACTAAAATTTACGACAAAAGAGACGATTTTTCATTCCTTATTGTTAATTTTCCTTTTTTAGACGGCGATGTGCCTTTGGCTCCATCATACGGTGTTTATATATCCCAACTCGTTCGTTATGTCCGTGTGTGTAGTGATGTCATAGATTTTAACGAACGTAATCAATGCATCACTGGTAAATTATTAAGTCAGGGATTTCGTTACCATAAATTACTTAAAACTTTTACTAAATTCTTTCATAGATACAAAGATTTGATTAGTAAATTTGGCTGTACCTGTAGAAAACTTATTAAAAATGTTATTTCACATCCTAGATTTTACGGTAATATTGTACTTAAAGCGCGGAAATCACTATGTGATCCGTGTAAACTCATCGAACCTTTAAACAAACTTATTAGTAAGAGTTATCGTACCAATGTTGTAATTAGATCTCTGTATATAGTTTACATTGGCACTAATATCGATTTTGTCATTAGCAAATTAAAACATAACTAAATTTGTATTTTCTTTTCAAACGGGATGTATAGAGACACACACACGTTCATTTTTATCTATAAAGAAGTCACTCCTAACTATCCTACTACCTGTCGATACATTTATTTTTTGCATTGCACAAGTCATGTCTTCTTTGACTGTTCATGACGTTAAAATACTAAATCTCTGGAATGTGTTTTAGTTGATTTTTCAGTCTCTGATGCATGATGTTTTATTATTAATTGTATTGTCTTTTAACTAGCTGTCAGTAACTGCGAGTACTCTCAAATCGTACTTTCTTTTTAATTTGACCTGTTGATACTATTTGTAATGCTTTTTTTGTTATCTAATGTTAACATGGATCTTGTCTATATACCAGCTTTGATTATTTGGTATTACTACAAATTTTCACTTCTTCGTACTATGAACATCAAAATTATTTCTTTTCTCCTTAAATTCTTGCACCTGTACAGGAAGTTGTATCTAGCACTTATTGTATAGTTTTATTGTTGATATTCACCCCATATGTACCAAGGGTTAAATTAGTTTTATTGATATTAAAGAAATTTCTTGGTATTCCTAAACGGAAGATTTTATTCACACAGAAGAAGAAGTATACTTAACAACAAAATTATTTTCATTTACCTGTGTAAAATATGACGCAGGTTTTTTCAAAAGTGATGATTTTCTAAATATTGTTTAACATTTCGCAGTGGTATCATACTTTAACTTTGTTTGAACCTGTTTATTTACTTTTGACCTTAATTATTTATCCCTTATAATTTTTATTAACTATGTATTTGCATTCAGGTATCACAGATCAAATTTATTCGTTCATTGTGTATTAATTTACGTTTTTTGATTGAGTTAAGCCTTCCAATTGATATTTTATAGTGTGTCTTTCTATGTTGTGATGTTATACTATTGTTTCAGAAAAGGGAGAAGGTTTGGTACCATTAAAACGTTTAATCCCGCTGCAAATGTTTGCACCTGTCCTAAGTCAGGAATCTGATGTACAGTAGTTGTCGTCTGTTTATGTAGTTCATACGTGTTTCTCGTTTCTCGTTTCTCGTTTTTATATAGATTAGACCGTTGGTTTTCCCGTTTGAATGGTTTTACACTAGTAATTTTTTGGGGCCCTTTATAGCTTGCTGTTCGGTGTGAGCCAATGCTCCGTGTTGAAGGCCGTACCTTGACCTATAATGGTTTACTTTTATGAATTGTTACTTGGATGGAGAGTTGTCTCATTGGCACTCATACCACATCTTCTTATATCTATTAAACCAATACTAATACCAAAAATCTAAGCATATATTTGACACTGCCTTATCAAATATATGAATATAAAGCAGAGAAAGGCTAATAAATACCAAAGACTGTGTATAGTGGATAGTCGCACGACACAACAACGCCGATTCTATATTTAATACAAAGTAAACATTATTCAAACACATATCTGCATATATATTATATAATTCAAACATCGGTATCAAACAAAAAACTCTTTACATAAAAAACTGAATAACCTTTGGCCACTATCAAGAAAATTTCAACTGTTCAGATTGACGGTGTCGTGCTGAATGATAACATAGGAAATAAAAGATCGGGAATATAATTTTGAAGCTGGAAAACCTAGCACCATATATGCTACATGTGATGAAAACACTTTTGTGAGTTCTTTTATATGTTTTTGTGTGGCTTCTTTGCTTGTGTTTTGTTTGTGTTTTTGAAAGCAATGTTTTGTTTTGTTTTTTTCTTTGGTTGTCGTTTCTCCAGCCTTCCCCATTTGATTACAATGTTCATTCTTACATATAGAGGATGACTCTGTTATTATGGATTAATTTGGAAATGAGTCTGCAAACACTGTATCGGTGTTGTAAACGTTTAATTCATCAGTCGTATATTACAAAATAACGATAAAAAAGTTCTTCGAAAATACGTTTTCATTCCAACTCTTTCTTTATCATCTCAGGAAATGTTCTAAAATTTCGAAAACAGCTGAAAAGAATGCATATATTAAGTATACATATCGATATATATGATTCAATGTGATAGGATAATGTAATATGTCTTATTAAATTGATGCGAGTTAGACAAAAAAAACCGATTCTTTTTTGTTTCAAGTATATTAATAAAAGCGGAATTTGAAATAATATTTTGTTATAAGCAGTCAGTTTGGCCCAAATTTGTAAAAATAAGCTCAAAAACATCGCTAATGGATTATTGACTTGCAAGTCAATAATTTAGCCTCTTTGAATCCGTATTCATGTGACCTTCAATTTAACCCCTCAGCTGGAGATGGGTTACGCATGTCCTAGGCGTGTGTTCAGCTATTAAAAGGACAGGAATGTCAACATTGAATGTGAAACAAGAGTGAACCATTTCGTTGACCGATTCGATCCACAAAAGAAATCCTTCTTATACAGGTTAAAACGATGATTAACATATTTTAACCTATTACATGAAATCAAACAGACCTAGAAAAATCCAATTGCACGTGTTTTTTATCTATTCATATTTCTAATTTTTTTTTATGTTTATATCGGGTTATATAAACGCCGGCAGTCTTCAGAGGTCATCTCGATCGTTAATTAAATGGCGTCTAGACTAAAGTACACACGAAATGCTGATATATATTATCGAAAGTTCGATATCGAGTCCATGCATTGTTGATTGTTTATTTTAGACTTTTTGAAATTTGGACATACGTTTTAGTATGTTTTATATCAAATATGGTAATTTGAATCAAATCGATGAACATGAATTGGATATTTAATGCCCCTTTAACTATACTTGAGTGTACTACAAACACATGTGATATGAATGCACACATATGTTCCCTAAAATCGTTGAGTTTTTAAGAGAGGAAAGATTGAAGGGAAGAAATGTATATATGTATAGATATTTCATTTCTAGGCATTTTGATATGTTCTTGTTCACTGATTGTCTTTTCCTTAAATTCAATATTATATAGCATTGTCGGGAAATAGACAGTATCATTTGTTACATTAATTCACCAGCTATAATGCAATCGCAAATGTCTACTAGTCCCGATCATAAATGTAAGAGTTCAGAGAGTTATAAATGTCAACTTGTGGTCCCTTAAAAACTTGTTGAATAAGTATGGGCGATGCCTTCCTTTGTCAATGAACACCTAAAGTTGTTTTAAATGAAAAACTAGAAATAAAATAACATTATTGTAATCATATATACTTTTTGTGTTTGGTATTCTGTTTACTTACCTGAACCACAGACAACAAAAATAAATAGAGCTAATAAATATGGTCCAACTTGATATTGTTCTTCAAATGATTTCTGAAAATAAAATGTTAGCACTTATTTTGAGTTGCTGAATTTCTGCAGCACCGTACATGTTTACGTTTTTCGTTCATTAGCATAAAGGTTTTAAAATCTTGTCTTAAAATTTAAGAAATAATTCTTTAATGATCTATAGATATAAGAAGATGTGGTATGAGTGCCAATGAGACAACTCTCCATCCAAGTCACAATTTGTAAAAGTAAACCATTTATATGCTTATTTAAAAATCGGTAGGCATTATATTTGTCAATATCTCTTCACTGAGCGTTAGCGAATAAAAAATTTTGACAATTATAATGCCTACACATGTTAAATTAAGCATAAAGCATGCCATGAAAAAATTATTTCGATTTTTTCTTCGAAGCGGACATAAAACACATGTTCGAATGGCATCTATATTGGTTTCATAAAGATTGCATTCTGTAACTTGTTAAGATGCGCCGCCGCTTGACAAACTACAGAATACTAGTAACCAAAATATAAATAAAACGGTCAATTCCATTTACATGGCTATAAATTATAAATTCTTTTTTCGAAATTAGGACTTAGATGAAGAAATAGTTTTGTTATAAAACAATACTTACTAATGTTCTAGGTACATTTCCTCTAATGTTTACATTGTCCCGATGTTTTTTGTTAGCTATCTTCATTTTTTGTTTAGTTGCAGGCATGGTGTTAGAATATATATTTTTCTCGCTCAAATCGAAAAAAAAAACACCTGCGTTCTCTCTCCTTTATTGTCGCAAAAGAATGTAATAATATAATTTCCATCTGTTGCATATGTAAAGTTATGTTTACAATTGTTATCGAATAGTCAAGTAGAAAAATTACGTCGTTCATACAAAGAAACTTCTTTTGTTACCATGTAAAACTGAATTCTTCAGGCAGCAAGTATAAAATTTGCATCTTATATAGAAATAAGTTTCCAGAATGGTTCTACAAGTGTTTGTCTTTCCGTAAGTTAGTAGTTATTTGCTGATCTTTCATTCATGTGGTCCAAGGTGTCAGTTCAGTTGGAATCCGTCGTCAGACCGTTCACGTTTTAAATCTTTTTTTCTGTCTTTGGAAACCAAAGTGGACAGCGAGCGGTGTTGTGACGAGTAACATCATATTATTTACTGACACAGAAAAGAAATTATTTTTCTACCCAGTAAGACTTTTTTTTAATTTAACTGTAGTTACCTTTTGAAAGCACTCAATCATTATTTTATATTTATTTCATAACCGCGACTGTCATTCGGTATATCAAGAAAACTGATTGCGATAGAATATAAACGTTGGTCAAGCATTGCGATTGGATCGTTCAAGATTTGGTATGATCGGACCGTGAATGTAGTTAATTAAAATCCAACTTCAAAATCTGTGAAAAAAATCCGTTTTGTTATCAAATGATAAGTGAAAAATCAGAAAAAAAGAAATATGTATTTCCAAATGGTTCAACTTTTTCAATAATACTGTGCACTAAGGTAAAGAACAAATGCACTTACTTATTTTCTATCAACAAATGTTTTTCTCCTCGAAAATTTGATACTGGGGATCAATTTCAAATTTAATCTTTTACCTTAAAATAAATTGAGGTTGAAATCCTGGCACATAAAAATGAAAATAATAATTTGTTATTTTTTTAATAGATAACAAATTATTATTTTCTTTTTTATGTTTTACGACATTGATATGTTGAAGAACATGCTGCCTTTTGAACAACTGTTTTGGTTCTTATACATCCGCTGCTTTCAAATATTCGGCTTTGAACGTTCCTGATGAAGGTAAATCAGGAAAAGAACCTCAAACGCACGAAATCCATAAAGTGTTCATTTACTATAGCACTAGGTCAATATCACTGTTTGTCACGGGACTGTCAGTCCCAAAGGTTCCAATTCCCTCACCATAAGATGACCTTGGATGAATCTGGCTATTCTTACTAGGTACCTTTTTTCATATAGCTCCTAACGTTTCTGTGTATTCATACATCCCATGCTTTCAAATGTTTGGGTTTCAGCGTTCTTGATGAAGATAAATCCAGAAAAACGGGGTCACCAAACATACTTTTTTAACAAGACATCCTAATAATGATTGTGGCCAAGTTTGGTTAAATTTGGCATAGTAGATTCAGAGAAGATTTTTGTAAAAAAATAACAGAATACGGACGCCAAGTGATGAGAAAATCTCACCTTTTGGCCAGATGAGCTAAAAAAAAAGGTGTTGCCTTTCATCCTTACCGCATATTCTCTGTCGCATCTTGTAGTGTCACCGTATCAAAATATACGGACATCATTACACATGACCTTTTTAATTTTAAAACCATAGCAGATTTTTTTTTCAAATACTATTAATGTAGCCACTATGAACCAAACAACAGCAACAACAAAAATCAAACAAATCAACAAAAACAAAAACAATTAAAAAAATAAATAACACGTAAAAAAACTATTTGGCGTGCATCAGCGTCTTTATAGCATACGGTTATTTCTCTTGGGTACTTGGGGATAGGACAAAATTGTTTTGCTCTCCAAAAATCCGTTATTTACTTGAGGACTGGATAATGTTTTCCCCCCAAAAAAATCCGTTATTTTCTTGAGGACATGACAATGTTTTCTCCTCACCCTTTAAAAAAAAATCCGTTGTTTTTTATTTATTTTAATTTCATTTATTTTCGTGTTTTTCTGTGTTAGACTTACATTAATATACTTGAAACAACATTGTTTACTATTTACTATCAATTGCTAGTTTACTAAGTACAGCGGTAACTGATAATATATATATATATATATGTATCCATTTTGTTAGATCTGGTGATCAATTTATTTGGCAATCGCCAATGGCAGTCAGCAGGGTTTAAGAACATCATTTGTTCGACCTGTTAGTCAAATGCGTTTTGTTAAAATAGACTTTTTCACTTTATTTTTTTGTTTTTTGGAAATTGTTGTTTGTGCTGTATTTAGACCCCTCTACCAAGAAATTTGTTTTGCATGCACACGTATAAAAATTGCGGTTTTTATCCAACGCAATCATAGGTTTGAACGTTGTTTTCAATTTAGACTTTTTATATTTTTTCGTTTGGGCTTGTATTATATTTTCCTTCGGGTTTATATGATCCGTTCATCCTATTTCGACTCTTTAAAATTCAAGAGTCTATCCTAAATTGAGGTAAATCATATGGCCTTCCAAATACCGTTTCGATCCCTAACATCACTGAAGAGACATTTATTGTCGAAATCCGGATATGGTGTACAAATTTTTGCACCTCATGTTTGTGGTATACCATCTTTTCCACAAGTTTATTGTTTTCTGTTTGGTATTTAATTAATATTAAGATCCATTTTGTTAGATCTGGTGATCAATTTATTTGGCAATCGCCAATGGCAGTCAGCAGGGTTTAAGAACATCAGTTGTTCGACCTGTTAGTCAAATGCGTTTTGTTAAAATAGACTTTTTCACTTTTTTTTTTGTTTTTTGGAAATTGTTGTTTGTGCTGTATTTAGACCCCTCTACCAAGAAATTTGTTTTGCATGCACACGTATAAAAATTGCGGTTTTTATCCAACGCAATCATAGGTTTGAACGTTGTTTTCAATTTAGACTTTTTATATTTTTTCGTTTGGGCTTGTATTATATTTTCCTTCGGGTTTATATGATCCGTTCATCCTATTTCGACTCTTTAAAATTCAAGAGTATATCCTTAATTGAGGTAAATCATATGGCCTTCCAAATACCGTTTCGATCCCTAACATCACTGAAGAGACATTTATTGTCGAAATCCGGATATGGTGTACAAATTTTTGCACCTCATGTTTGTGGTATACCATCTTTTCCACAAGTTTATTGTTTTCTGTTTGGTATTTAATTAATATTAAGATCCATTTTGTTAGATCTGGTGATCAATTTATTTGGCAATCGCCAATGGCAGTCAGCAGGGTTTAAGAACATCAGTTGTTCGACCTGTTAGTCAAATGCGTTTTGTTAAAATAGACTTTTTCACTTTTTTTTTGTTTTTTGGAAATTGTTGTTTGTGCTGTATTTAGACCCCTCTACCATGAAATTTGTTTTGCATGCACACGTATAAAAATTGCGGTTTTTATCCAACGCAATCATAGGTTTGAACGTTGTTTTCAATTTAGACTTTATATATATATATATATATAGAGAGAGAGAGAGAGAGAGAGAGAGAGAGAGAGAGAGAGAGAGCTCTTATAATCAAAACAGATGGCACTCATTAAATACCCATAACTACATTCGAACAGATGGGCGCCTGAAGTCCAGCGGCAGTTATAACATAAACATGCAGGGTGAAAGCATATTTGTGTGATATGTATGCATTCAGCTTTTACAAGACGAACACGCAAAATCGGATTTTAACATGATACGTACTTAATGTAGCAGTCCATATATAGACAGAGCACTTGGCGCACTCGGCGGACTGATGATTATTCTGACTCCAAGCGACTAGTACTAGTAGTTGGTCTTACTCTTAAATGCTGCGTGTCTAGCTGAGAAACAGTATAAAGCAGATACCAATATCAAAGAATTTGATTTGATCCGAATGGAATCGAATCCGCAAACTCCCACACCCGAGCCGAGCAAAACATTGCAAAACCATTGATTCAGTATTTAACCTACCGTACCAATACTTAATCGTCATGCAATCGATAAAAAAACTGTAGATGATCGTTCAAAATCTATGTTCAATTATTCGATTTTGCGACATGGATGGAGATAGTAAGAAACCTTAAACCAAATACAAAATATGTAACCAATTTTGAGGGAATATACGTATTGAACCATTTGGTTGATTGATTATTGCTTAATATTTTCATACTGATGAATAAAATACGATATGTAGTGATATGAATGTGAACTTCTTTTTATTAGAACGGTACATTGCGTCATTTTTTTCAAATAGAAGCTCACAAGGTTATAATGGTCGGCATGTTACTCCACCTTACCACATTATTCGGCTCACTGCGAGTTGGTAAACTAGTTTTCACTGCACAGTAACTCCTAAATGCCGGGCGTTTTATCAAGCAAAACTCTGGGGTGAAAGTGTAGGACAAAAACAATAATGGAACGAGAGTAAACCATCCAGCCTTGTATTTCCTTCAGTCAAAAATAAACCAACTTGAATTCGAAATTCGTTGTTACCGTTTGGATAATTATGAAAATAACACATAGTTCTGCATAAATGAATTATCTAAAACGCTTAGCTTCTGTAAGAGATTTTTTTCTAATGACTTGTGTAAAACCTCGTAAATTTCGGAATACTGACATCTTTCACTCATGTGATGTCCTATTTGTTTAAAGAAAAACAACAAGTTTGAATGCAAACTTTTGTTGTCAGAAAAGACATTTTCAAGAAAACCCACTTTCCTTTCAAGAGTACGGGGAATACAGTTTATTTAAAATCAGATATTAAAATAGTATGTCTTCAAATAGTCATCCTCTTCTTTAAATATTTTTTTCTGTAATTAAACTGTATGAATAAATTTGTTTCGTTCTTCTTTAATTATTTAAGAATTTACATCCATACGTAACATACATACATACATAATAAGTCTTATTACTTCTCTATGTATGTAAATTTTATTAATTAATTATCTGTATACATTTGAGAATTACATATATTTAGTCTCCGCTTAGATCCGTCTGTCTCTTGTTTTATTCTTTAAACAAACTTTTACAAAATTTTCATTTCGTTTCGTTTTGTCATATTCCCTTTTGGCAAATTTCGTTTCGTT